CTAGCTCACAGCAACCTCAAACTCCTGGGCTCAAGCAATCCTTCTGCCTCAGCCTCCCAAGTAGCTGGGACTACAAGCATGTGCCACCACGCCCGGCTCATTTTTTCTACATATATTTTTAGTTGTCCAGATAATTTATTTCTATTTTTAGTAGAGACGGGGTCTCGCTCTTGTTCAGGCTGGTCTCGAACTCCTGACCACGAGCAGTCCTCCAGCCTCGGCCTCCCAGAGTGCTAGGATTACAGGCGTGAGCCACCGCACCCAGCCTATAAAGTATGTTTTTTAGGGTTGGGGTGTATGTGATGATGAATAACTTTTGCAGACAAGAAAAACAGTGGCAGATGCGGAGGGAAAAACAGTATAAAAAGGCAGAAATATAATGACAACTAGAAAGGAACAGAAGGAAATGGGGTAGAACAGGAAGTATAAGATATAAATAAAAAATAAAGAAGAAAATAGAATAAAGTAAAGGAGAATAAAAATGCAGTAATGTGATCGCAGTATGGGTAATTGAACATGGTATAAGAAAACGAATGGGCAAGTATATTAGAGAAAGTGGCTTATAGACCTCAGAATGGTTGGACATGGGATGGGCAACACCACTTTGGAATTTGCAAGATCCAGGTTTGGTTGGCCTTATAAATCATGGCCCTTGGGGGAAGTTGCTCAAGTTTAGTTCTTACCATAGACTCCTTACAGCTGCACTGCCAGTGGTTCCTGGACTAAGACTGCAGCAGAACATCCATAGTCTTTATCGTGTCTCCTTTGAATGGAAAAGAAGACAAAACGTATAGGCAGTGAGTGGTTAAGAGGAAAGGAACATGTGGGCTAAGTTGACTGTAGGATGCTGGACCAACCACTTTTGCCTGTAATTATTTTTATCTTTTTCAGCAGATAATGATTACCAGTTTCTTTTAGTGGCATTTACTCTTACAACTTTTACCTGGTATTGTGGTTATTTGAAGTCTCACCTTTTCAAAGCCTTCTCTGTGGGTTAGGATCATACATTTGTGCCACATATGTGGCATTAAAAAAAGTTAAGCATATGCATATCTGTTGAGAATTGAAAGGATAGGAAAGAAAGAGGAAAAGAATGAAATTATGGTATAGCCACACAGCAGGATAGTATGCGTGTGTCAAAAAAATGTGAGCAATCTGTATATACTGAAATTTATAGACTTCTGAGGTTAAGACTTTAGGGTATTACTTTTAATTTTAAAACTTTAAACTCAGCATTCTTTTATTCTTTAGACTCTTCAGGCAGCTGAATTGATTGACTCAGAATTTCGAGCAGGAATGAGCAATAGACAAAAGAACAAAGCTAAAAGAATGGCCAAATTATTTGCAAAACAGAGATCCAGGGATGCAGTGGAAACTAATGAGAAGAGGTAATAATCTTTTTCTGCTTTTTCACTTAAAACAATAACGCTGTGTAGTTTAAATCTGTGTCTGCTTGATTTATAAAAACATTTTGCTGACATTATGGTTTGCTGGCGAGTACCGTTTGGATTGTCTTACTCAGTTGTCAGAGAGTATTTGTTGTTACTAGGGACTAAGACCACTTCCCCAGAAAAATGTGCAGATTTTTTTTCTTACTGATTATTGGCTGTGAATGAGGGCTGAAGGTCCAAAAGTGGGAGAGCATTCTAGGCAGAGGGAATAACTGTAAATGCCTTGATTATGGGATATTCAAGAAACAGAAGGAAGGGCAGTATAGCTGGGATGAGTGGACAGAAGAATAGTAGAAAATGAAGTCAGAGAGGTGGTTTAAGGACCACAACTTAAGAAACACCGCATTAGTAAAGTGACAATTGTGGCGGTATTCCATTACCTGTTCCCCCAGCTGGGGCTATGCTAAATAGCAGGTAATAATCTAGGCTTGCTTACTTAATCCTGTTGTAGGAAAGAACTGTGGGTAAAGTCACTATCTTCATTTTGTTAATGAGTTAATAAAAGTGATATCCATGCATAGCTTAGAGCAGCATTTCCCAAAAGTTCAAAACTAAAAGTGCAGATTCTTGGGCCCCACTCAGATCTGTTAAATCAGAATCTTCAGTGGTGTTCAAGAAGTATTTGAGAAAATGATGAACAATAGTGAATAATAAGTGAATAATAAAAATAA